CAGAAAGTAAAACAGTGTAAATGATAGAGAATTTATCTTATAATTGGATGCAATAGACTGTACATAATGGTATTATAGAGTCTAGGATGTTTCCCAAACAACATCAAAATCACCAGCTGCTCCGGAACCGGAGGTAAAGCCACGAATTCAAGAACAAACAAGTTACCCATCAATCAGAAATAATATATTAATTAATTAGGCGTGTTATATAAACTCTTTGAAGATTACATATGTATAACAGTCCATCTATACAGTCCATCGATGGTTTATGAAAATTCTTCAAATTCTCAGTATCGAAGAAATTGACCTTCGTGTTATATTCATATTTAGTGTACTCTAGCCAACAAGAAAGCAATCTGTGATGACATAGCTAAACTATAGAATGAAAATTAGCATCCAAAATGATCTACAGTTCATTCAATATCAAATATAACTGACTCAAGTTAATCTGTCATTTTAACAACTGACAGAATGGGACAGTAGGTTACGGAGCTTAATGACTTCAGATTCATTCATTGATCATAGACTGACGGATTGATAGTAACAAGTTTGAACTAGTTTCACCGAGTTGCACTGCCAGAAATTGGTTCTGTTTTACAGTTGTTAGCTATACTCGTGTTATAAGGTTAGAATTTAGACAAAACAGCAGTTCAATCTCCGGAAAAATTTTAGCAAAAACCGACACAAGGCTTGAGTAACCGTTTAACTAACTTTCGATAAAGGAACGCTAAACATTTGTAACTGTATTTGATGATAACCAATTGAAAAAAAACTTTATGACGGCAGATGTGTTTTGCTATGGGACAGCTTACCAACTTACACACAGCAGTACAGCCACGGGCAGTTTACGGAATTACTTACAAAAAATAAGTCATAAGATTTGTAGGAATTTATCTTTTCCTTGTTCCCATCTGCTATAATTCGACCTTTAAATTTGATTAATTTTTTAGCAGTGCAATATTAACACCTCTGATATATTCCACATACTTATATATAAAAATATCTGATAATGATGTGATATTTGTATGAAAGAACATACTGTCACTAACACTTACTTGTAATGTAAAGAAAGAAAATCACCCAATCTTTTCAAAAGAGGACGAGTAATTAAAGACAAGGAAACCACAATGTAGTGTCATTGATTGAAATAAATATTTGTAGAGTAGTCAAGAAAGGCAATGATATTGAATACTGCACTTTGAAGATTTATCAGCTGTTCTAACTTTTAACAAAGTAGTGATTTTCACTGTTATCGGATTTCATAGTCAATGAAAGCTTTAAAAAAACAATTGTTAGAAATCGTAATTACTTTTTTATCGGCGTTTCCATAAATGAACGAATGGCGTCATTCTTTATTGAAAAATTTGATTTATATATTTTAAGCCAAATGGCATTCAATTTTTGAATATCTGCTTATCCAACACTTTGTGAATAAATTAGCTACACGCACACTTTTACAAGAATCTAACATCAACTGTTGCCTCTATTGTGCTCACAAGCCACTCTTATCGTACTAACAGTATATCAATGGTGCGACATCGACTATTATCGAATTGTGCTCAGATTCGACCTCATCCGAGATCTTGTGAAAGCAAATCTACACACCAGATTACTATTCTTTCAAAAGTGACTTACCAAATTCATACTTAACGAGACCTTAAAGGTATAGACACCTACACACCAAAGTAACTTTTAACGTATGAAAAATATATCAAGAGCCGTGATCGATTAGTATTTGTCGAACCGTTGCTAAATACGAAATTGTCCAATATGTTGTGCGATCTTGTGGGATGGCCTCCATCGCGTTCACAAATCAATTATGGACGAACGGATGGTGGCGACAGCAATGTAGCCCAAACTACAATTTAGCCCAAACTACAATGTGGGCGCAAAAGTCGCATTAAGAATATTATATAATCTTCAATAAAGCATAACATTCCCTATATAGTTCCGGCTGCAATTTTTATTTCAGATAGTGTTATTTAAAATGTTATGAACAGATATTTCTACAAATTGAATTAAAGAAAAAGTGGTTAAATTGTCTTTCTAAAATAAATTCAATTTTGAAAATGTAGTTTTTCTAATAGTGTTAGATATAAAGTGCTTAGGGCTCTATTTCCTTCACAATCTTAAAATATTATTTTTTACATCATTTCAAAAACAATTAAAATATTGAAAACGTCATACTTTTATATTATGCAGCTTGAAATAATGAAGCCGGGTCTGCAATGTGTAAAACACTGAATTTTTGAAGTTAGTGAGCAATCGTCTTAACTCACTGACTCACTCAGGGATTTTACATTTTTGTTATTATCTTGTCCTGTTCAGCACTGTCTGTAAAACACATATAAATCGTCTACACGTATCATAGTTTTTTCAATTTTTTAATGAAACTAAGACGATGATTTCTCCTCCAAGACCAATTTGAAGCTGGACGAAGAACTTCACAAGGTTGAGACTACAGATCTTGCAGAAAGTGGCCCAAGAAATCTAAAAGAACATCAGCAGTTTTTTGTTCAAGATCGGTCTCGATCACCACGGTTGATGCAATCCTTCGCGTTTGTTACAATGTAACAATTTGATAAAACGATTTCCTTTGGTGGTGTTAAAAGGAATTTACATGATTGTCATCAAGATCTGATGAGATTTCAAGAATAGTCCAGGATTCAAACTACAATCTTGCCTCGAATCTTGAATGGAAGTTTTGAGGACAAATGATGTTGATTTAATAGAATAAGTTAATTAAGTTTTGTTAACTTCACAAGTTTCTTTTTAAAATGTTTTCTCAATAGTTCGGTTCCATTTAATTAAGAAAATCTCAAAGTGAGAAATAATATTGCAGTCTTGATCTTATTACTAGTAACGAGAACCATTAACATTACCGAATTTAATCTATTTTAAAAGAAATTCTATGACGGCCTTTATAGAATCACTTTACCGACATTTCTGATTTAAGCAATTCAAATGACCTTTAAAAATTATGCCAACTTCCTAGTAGAAAGGTTGAAAACATCTCTCCCACAAGGCGACATAAATCCCTCCGCCTCTAATATATACCTCTCTGTGTGCCAGATCAGAACCTAATGTATTGGCGAACACGAATTCGATTGTACATCTGAGTCTTGAGCAGTTGTGTTAATGGTGTATGATTTCATTAGAACATGACGGTACCTAAGTGTAGTAGACGATGGTCAATATTCATATCCATTACGTTTCTTAACGGCAATTAATAATAATAGGGGTAGAAGTTATCTATACATGATACCAATATATTTATCATAGCTTGATCCCACAACATGTCTTCTATGTGATAGGTACATGTATCACCAAATCGATGTACCATTAGCTAAATGTACAATATATCTAATGCACTCTCATATCATGATATGGATTGGAGTCGCCGTACAAATATACAATTAACTCTAATACGCTCTCATGTAATGAATCGAAGTCAAATCACAGTACAAATGTACAATTTGCTCTAATACTCTCTCATAGATAAAGCGAAGTCGCCGTACAAATATACAATTAGCTGTTAAATTCTCTCATAATAATGTAACGGAGTCGAGCCGCCGTACAAATGTACAAGTTACTTTTGATACAATCTCATATACTGAAACGACGAGTCGCCGTACAAATGTACAATTTGCTCTTAGACACTCTCATAATAATGAAACAGAGTCGAGCCGCCGTACAAATGTACAATTTAGCTCTAATACACCCTCATATAATGAAACGGGGCCGAGTCGCCATACAAATGTATCATTAGCTCTAAGCCACCACTAATGGAATGGAGTTGAATGTACAATTTAGCTCTAATACACCCTCATATAATGAAACGGGGCCGAGTCGCCATACAAATGTATATCATTAGCTCTAAGCCACTACTAATGGAATGGAGTTGAATGTAAAATTTAGCTCTAATACACCGTCATATAATGAAAAGGGGCCGAGTCGCCCTACTAATGTACACTTAGGTCTAAGATACTCATATAATAAAATGGAAGATTCATCTCACAAATGAACGATTAGCTCTAAGACAATTGTTTATAATGAAATGGAGTCGAGTCGCCGTAGAAATGTAAGCCGTTCATATAATGAAATGGACGAGTCGTTGCACAAATTTAATGTACAATTAGCTCTAAAACACTCTTATAATAAATGGAGTCGAGTCGCCGTAGAAATCTAAGACAACCATATAATGAAAAGTAGTCGAGTGACTGTACAAATGTACAATTAGCTCTAAAACAATTTGGTGATATAATGAAATGGAAGAGTCGTCGCACAAGTACAATTAGCTCTAAGACACTCTCATATAATGAAACGCTGTCGAGTTCTGTACAAATGTACAAGTAACTTTAAGACACTCTCGTATATTGTAATAGAGTGGGATCGTTGTGACTTACGAGTTGCTTGACATAGTTCCCGGTATAAATCGAATTGGAACAGGTCAAGGGTTGAGCTTTCCAAACATTTTATACATGGAGTGCACGTTGGGGATCCATCGATCGTTGGTCGTTGACTTAACCAAAAGCACACAGGATGGCGAAGCCCCGTCTCTATTATCAAAATCCGTATCAGATTTGCGAAGCGTAAAACAATTTCAAGCCCATGGCCTGTAATTTAGTTATTAGTTTGTATACGTATCTCACCGGGGAAACAATAAAGGCTTGTTTAACCTCAATGTCTATAAAATTCCCCCTTGGCTTATGACATTCCACCTCAAAATACTAAATGTTGGTACCAATGTTTTTTCAAAAATACCGTATTATACTGTATAAATGGTATTACTGCTGCTGTCAATCTCTTTATTTAATGCTGGTTTGTTTTTACTAGATATATTACAGAAAACCAAATCTTTTATTCATTTAGTTCAATTTGTAAGATAAGGGCTTAGTTCAAGAATAGTAATAGATTTACTTCAACGGCAAACAGATCTGGCGTTTAGATAATAGAAAATCGTTGATGAGACATTATTGAAACTCACAGATTCTATGTACTTACCTCTCTAAGGAGATTGCTACCAGCGTCAAGACACTGGCAAAAACAAATATAGGCAAGAAATAATAGAGTACTGAACACAGAGCATCACTATTAAATACGTGCCATTCACATGGTGCTGTATATTCCAAAAGTTTTAAAGGCATTACAATAGCTGATACTAATAAATCAGATATAGCTAAATTGACTATATAGTAATTAGTCACTGTATGCATATGATTATTTCTCCAAACAGTCCAGATGACTAAACTATTACCAGTAACGGCTAGGAATATAATAGAACTATATAAAGCTGCTATGAAATATCGTATGCCAGCAACTTGTGTATAATCTCTATGATAATCTGATAAATCACCGCAAACTCCTTCAACATAACTGTTATTTCCTTGATAGTAATCCCATCCTAAACTTTCCTCGTCCATTGGATACATTTGTGAAATATTCATAGGGTAAACGTCGGATTGAGTTATGGTCGACATTTTAAGATTTACACCTTTATCAATCAATCTAATTTCTATCCCTGGGAATTTAAAAATAAAGTTTTCTCTTAACAATATCTGAATACTATCTATTAACGATTAAACCAGATATACCAGAACAAGGTGTGAAACGGAATTAAACCATACACCTCTCAGTTATCTCATTATTAATATCAAAAACTTGTACAGATTCCTTCTATTTATCTTATTTATCACACAAATTGTTCACATGGTCAAATTAATCTTCCAATTGACCCTAATGACCTTGTAATTCACGACTGTGGTTCGCGGGAATTCTACCTTGCTTCTGATAAAAACTATCCGATGAATGTTAAAGAAGACCTAACATTGATAAGACTAACGCCGTGATAATTCCAACACACTTCCAGTTGAAAATCTTATGTGGTGGAAATCGATGGTCGTATTTGGACGAGAAATTATGTGATTTGAACAACCCACCTGTGTGGTTTATTGTCCCTCTGTTTAAATAGGTAAAACTCTGTTAAGAATGTAATATATTTTGTTCTGTAGCATGTATTGTTTGTAATTGTTTATGACTTTTCAATGAGAGTTAAATGTTTGGCTATCTATGTAGTGTCAGATAGTTATTTAAATAATTATTCACTTTAAAAGTAACTGCACTTTTTTGTTCTTCAGTCCTTATCTGTGAAGGTTGAAGTCTGCTGTAATATATACGATCTATGAATTAAGGATGATAAATATATTTTCCAAAGTATATATATTCTTAATGATATTTCCTTATTTTCTTATTTTTTCAATGTAACTAAGTTTGTAGCTAGTTTAAGAGGATGTTCTGGAGCCATCGATTAATATCCTTTATTTAATGATAATGCAACTGACTATGAATAAATATGACTGATTTTGGTCGGTATTTTTGTTTTAATAATTACCTCCACAATACATTACAAGGAACTTTTTTGGATATAATCGTCTGAATATTCCTTGCTGATAAAGATGGTTGGAAATAATCTAGCTAAAAACAAAAGCAGTTATCATCTAAATATTTGCTAATCCAGCTAAAATAAATCGGGTTTAGTTGAAATTGAACTCTTATAACCGAAAAGCACATTATTATATAGACGACTATATCCGTCCAGAGCATCTTCAAGTAGTAGAAATCAAAAAACACACGATGATGCAGAGACGCGTTATTTACTGGAGTAATTATTGTCAAGGAATATTTGTAAAACTCAATCTTAGTGAAAGGGATATATTTTTTTTACAAAGTAGCAGCTTTGTAATAACGAATATCTTGACTAATGCTTCATAAATAGTATTGAATAATAAATATTATATAATAATGAAACTGTAGCTATATGATTCTGATATGGTTGAGAACAATGAGACGGTGTCAAGGAGATTTCAATAAATCTAACATGAAATACTGAAATTTGATCTGAATACAATTACCACAGAGACGGAAACTAAAACGATAACGTATTGGAGAAGAATAATAATTTTTATTATAATAAGGTATAAGGTTTTATTTACTGAGCTATCCAATTAATGTTACAAATCATTTCTTCGAAAAGCTAACTACTTCCAGACAGGTATACTTTTAGCATTCTCTTTAGTTATACTCACAATGGGATACTATGGATAGTTGTACCCACTACCACATATACTTGATAGTTATACAAACCTATTACGACACGGTATGTGCCTTAAACTGTTCTTAACTGCCTTTTACCTCAGTACAGCATAATATTGGTGTGTGATTGAACTGTATCATATTTACAATATTTCCTTGTACAATAGAATAAAACATATAATTATGTGCATTCACCACTCCTGCTTTTTATTTAGATGGTTATTACATATGACCAAATGACTATACTAATCGATATATACTGACCGATTTTTTGATGGAACGTTTTAGGCCTCAAATGATATGGAAGTGAAGACTTTTCGTCCAGACTGTAGTCTTTTTTAACGACTACCTACAGACCTAGCAGAAAGTAAAGGTGAACATTTGATACATGTATTATGTATCCACAATTACATTGGTTGACCTATGGCTTCATCACGACCAATGATCAGGATCACCCTACCAATTAAGTTACCCATAACAATAAGCTAAGAGCCATTAATGATATCATATATCTATAAACTGTAATATAATAGTATATGTAATATGTAGTATAAACATATTTTACAACGATAACAACTTAGGTTCACATAAAAGGATCCTTTCTTCTAGCTGGTCCTTTGGTATTTATCTTTACCGGATTATAACAGATATGGGTCGACTGGAATTATGTGTAAGGATGACTTATTTAAGGTCATCGAACTTTCACACACTGATCAAAATCGGATATCACAGCCGCGGAAGCCACAGTATAGTTCTGGATTATCCATAGCTTTATACCAGCAATATCAACAATGGTAAACTATACAATCAGTCAAGGATCATAAATCTGATACCAATATCAACATCTAATTTCTAGCATTAATAAGTTTTCCTAAAGAATTAAAACCGTGTTTGTACCGTGGAAATGTAATTGTGGTTTGACATCAAACCTAATAAATAATAATAGTCGAGCTACCTCAATTATTATAGAGATGTTGATTGAATAACCAGCTTTATATAGAATACCAATATAAGGGTGATCATCTCAAGTTACTATGGAAAATATTATTAGTACTGTATGATATTGATTGCTGCAAGAACTAGACTAGATTCTGACTGACCGCATTTCAATTCTAGAAAAAGTATAACGACAATTATACTTGATTTGCGACTGGTTTGTATTGTAAATCATCCTGCACGCATTGTAGGCTCAAACTCTTTAATTTGGATATTTGATAAAGTGTTATATCCATACAAATTATGATACCTTGATTGTGCCAGATAAGGCTTGAAATAATTTCTTATTATTTATTGTGGGTGGAGTGCACAGGGATTTCAAGCCTCATTAAGCGAGTTATCATTTCCTGTACGCGTTTTACTGTCATCAGAAATTGTTATGGCAACTTTTCAACTATTTAAAGCTTATAAAGCTTGAGATACTATATACTGGGCACAATAAAGTAATGAAATATAATAATTACCATTGTGACAAGAGACTATTTGATTTAGTTGTCTATAGTTCAATGAAAGTAACTTTTGGTTCTAACTTATTGAAATTGTTCTTCGCCATGGTCTTCTCTGACATCTAATAACATTTTATAATGTTCTCCTGAAGTAGTTGAACAACTCGATACCAAGTGATTTGAACTATGGCGATGGCCACTACAGACTTAAAGAATAAACATGATCAAATCTCTCGAGAAAACCTTATTGAGTATTTTATTAGTGTTAAAATCCTTTACATCCTGTAATCTAAATAGTGTTTTCACGGCTTTATTGTCTTTGCTTTCAAATCAATACAGATTTTGAAGATTAATCAATGTAAACAGGAAATAAACTTCTTGTTACTTTCCGTATGTCTTAGTTATTTTGTTACTTGCCATATTATGTCTTAGTCCAAGTTAGTTTTGTTATGTAACTTACTATTAGTTAGTTATATTATGTTACTGACCATATTATGTCATGGTCCTAGTTAGTTATATTATGTTACTGACCATATTATGTCATGGTCCTAGTTAGTTATGTTATGTTACTGACCATATTATGTCATGGTCCTAGTTAGTTATATTATGTTACTGACCATATTATGTCATGGTCCTAGTTAGTTATATTATGTTACTGACCATATTATGTCATGGTCCTAGTTAGCTATATTATGTTACTGACCATATTATGTCATGATCCTAGTTAGTTATATTATCTTACTGGCCATATTATGTCATGGTCCTAGTTATATTAATTTACTGACCATATTATGTCATGGTCCTAGTTAGCTGTAATATGTTACTGACCATATTCCTTTATTTTACTGACCATATTATGTCATAGTCCTAATTAGTTATATTATGTTACTGGCCATATTATGTCATGGTCCTAGTTAGTTATATTATGTTACAGACCATATTATGTCATGGTCCTAGTTAGTTATATTATGTTACTGACCATATTATGTCATGGTCCTATTTAGTTATATTATGTTCCTGACCATATTTATGTCATGATCCTAGTTAGTTATATTATGTTACTGACCATATTATGTCATGGTCCTAGTTAGTTATATTATGTTACTGGCCATATTATGTCATGGTCCTAGTTAGCTATATTATGTTACTGACCATATTATGTTTAGACCAAGTTAGTTTGTTAAGTTACTTATTATATGTTTTAGTCCGTGTAAGTTATTTACCACATTATGTCTTAGTCCGAATAACTTATGTTATTTAACCTACCCGTATATAACCTATTATGTTTGAATCCGAGTAAATAAAGTTACTTACCATATTCTATATTAGTTTTGTTATGTTTCTTGGAATATAGTTTACAGTAATTTTTATACGCCCACATGAAATGGGGGCGTATATTGCCGTCACCTCTTTCCGTCGGTCCGTCCGTCCACAATTGCTCGTAAACACTCTACAAGGCACAATTCTTGACTGATTTCGACGAAACTTGGTATGGTTGTTTGTAATCACCCAAGGATGAACCCTATTGAAAATCAGACGAATCGAAAAACATTTCATGGGCATATAAAAAATATTATGTTAGACTACTATGTCACAGAAATACTGACTATGAACCTACAAAAACCTTATGTTAAAGATGGTTTTCCTTATTTTTTAGAGTCAATTTTAGCAAACAATTGGTGTTTGTAATGAATTATCATATTTGTATTCTTAATCATTATGTTCTTATTGCATATAAGAAGTTTTGACCAATCATAAATGAATATACAGTCTGGATAAACAAAAAAGACTTTTTGACCTTTCTTGATCTATTCATATAAGTATTACTTTTTCATTTTCATAAATGAAGGTAAGGGAACCTATCTTTAACAATTTATCACAGAAATACT